TGTTGACTGTGGAGCCAAGCAAACTAAAGCTGTGTACAATCTCAATCTCTTCACCATCCAGACAGTAATAATTTCAGAAAGATCACCCTGGTGGCTTGCAGAAGAGATGGAGAAAAGAAAGTGAGGTGGACTCGGGGATCCAGAAGGGAGGCGTTGAAACCTTGGGGCGCGTAGGAGTAGAATCAGGTGAAGGCGACAGATCTGCCTTCCTTCTGGAAAGAAGGTTAAACAGAACTTGACCATGTGGACGCTCCAGAGATTGAGACGAAGCCACGCCGGCGTCTCTAGATGTGGGGGTCTTCATGGAGAACGCTGGGTGGTGAATACTAACAGGGCAGGGCCTATGGGGTGTGTGCTGAAGAGCAGGTGTTCGCTTCACTCACCCATGATCCTGAACCCACGATGATGTCTGTAGCCCCTGCGCCTTCCATTTTCCTGGCTGCTTTTTTTTTCTGGGTTCTCTTCCCTCTGAAGGAAGAGCCCAGGATCTTTTAGTTGTGTTAGCTGAGACTTAGGGTGGGTAGACCATACGCCCCCCCACCTATGGAGAGCGTGGAAATGGGGACTGAGCTCGCTGGAGGTGGGCCTCGTTTCCATAACCCGAGAGCTGCTAGACGCTGGGAGGCGAGCCCACGTGGGTCCAACTACTTGCAGGTGGATTGGAGTCATCCCTCAACCTCTTCCCTCCTGCTTCTGGCCTTCCCGACTCCGAACCTCCCAGGTTCTTCCAACTCAGGGTTTCAGAGGTTTTGCAACCCGCCTCCCTCCCTCCCCCCACTAACCCGGATGTCTCCCTCCACCCTAAGAACCCACTCTCACCTCCTGAAGATGAGGAAAATGGAGAGACAAAGCAGGGCCATGATACCAGCTCCACCAACAGCACTCAGAACCCCTGAAGCGACTTCTGGTTTCCCTCCAGAGAATTCAAGATGTGAGTACGTGCCAATCTCCACACAGGGCATTGTCCCCACCGTCCACTTCTCTCTGTGCCTCCCCGCCTCCCCTGCTGGTGTGTCTAATTCCCACACAGGAACTCAATTACTTGGCATTTCCATTTGTCTTGGAGAACCTTGTATGAAACTCCTCAGCACACACCACACATTCCCACGGGCCAAAGGACTGTGGGTCTTGTGCCCAAGTACTCATGCTGAGGTCTTGAGTGTCTGTTCTCTAAGCCCCATCTCTCTAGATTCTCTTCCCCTGAAGACACTTAACCAGCAGTCTCAGGACAGTGACCAGGTGGGCTCCACGGATACCCTGGACTGCAGTCTGAGGCTGAAGCAGAGGGAACTGACGGGCCTGGGCGGAGCTGGGGGGTGACTGTGAAGGACTCATTATCGCCGCTGTCGTCCACAGCCTGTCCCCACCCGATCAGCGATCAGCGCAGGGAACAGAGCAGGCTGAGCTCAGAGAAGCTGCAGCAGAGACACACAGCCTTCCGGGAGGATCTGAGCTGTGGGGACCTTTGGGTGGGCTCCTTTTGTCGAATATCAAATTTAATATGAATAATAAACCAACAACTATGAGATATCATCTCACCCCAGTAAGAATAGCAAAATATAACAGAACCGCAAGCAACAAATGCTGGCGAGGATGTGGAGAAACTGGAACTCTTATTCACTGTTGGTGGGAATGTAAGATGGTGCAACCATTGTGGAAGGCGGTGTGGCGCTTTCTCAAAAAATTACAAATAGAGATACCATTTGACCCAGCAATCCCACTACTGGGAATATACCCCAGAGAGACCATGTCTGCCATCCAAGCAGATATATGCACACCCATGTTTATTGCAGCTTTGTTTACAATAGCAGCCTAAGGGCCCATCAACAAATGAATGGATAGAGAAGCTGTGGTATATCCACACAATGGAATACTACGCAGCATTGAAAAACAAGGAACTCATGCAATATATTCAAAGTGGGTGACCCTGGAGGACATGATGCTGAGTGAAATATCTCAGTCACAAAGGGACAAATACTGCATGGTGCCCCTGTTGTAGAAGGGGTCCGACATCAGGGTGGGGGTATGACAGAAAAAACTGGATAAATTATGTATATTGTATTGAAACAAATGAGGGAAAGAACAGATTAGAAGTGATATATGATTGAGTATTATGGTTACCACAGGAATCCAGAATTAAGGTTGCATAGAGAAGTGTACTCGGGTGGGGCGTGGGGGGAAGGGAAGTGGGAATTGTATATTAATGAAGGAATTTTTTTTCTTTCTTTTTTTTCTCTCTCTCTTCAGAGGGGGAAGCGAGCTGGTGGGGAGGGGTGGGCAGGGAGAAAATTGCGGCAATGAATGAATGGAAATCCAAAACCTCTGTAAAAAAATCCCTCTGATAACAGTCAGTATTGTGTCTAATACATTATTGAACATGAAAAAAAAAGAATAAACCAAATGATCCATCAGGATGTGAGGGAGGCTTAATACAAGCTGGTGTTCACCCTGAGGCACTAAGGCGTTCCTTAAGAGTCAACATTGTTCTTAGTTTGTATTTACTGAATCCCTGTCTTCTGAACTCTGCCTTATTTGCAAAAGACTTCCCAGGATCCTTTGTCTTTGTTTTCTACTTACTTGTGATTTTCCTTTCTTTACCTTCCTGATGATTCTCAATAAACACACAGAGAGGCGCGGCTTGAGACCTTCAGTCATGGAACTGCTGGCCCCCTGTCTTTACTCTCTCTTATCTCGTTCTTGGTAGTCTGTCTCAGTATTAATAATTATAAAAATACTTTACCCTCGGTCTGCAACACCTTTCTTCCCTAATATCATGAAATACTTGCCTCAGGAGATCCCAAACTCACTCTGAACGGAGAGATTCAGAAGAACATGCTGGGAGCCCAGCTGATTCTGCGCTTGGCAGGCGATCACTCCTTTCTCTCCCATCCCTACGTGAGGCAGCGCCACATAGCCAGTGGAGGAGAAGGGGGAGGTGTTCCGAGCTGGGGACCCCTGAAACCAGGCCAGCTTTGGAGGGGGGTTGCTGTCGGCAGTACAGTGTAGATGCACGGACTGGCCCTCGGGGATGATCAGAGACGAGGCATTTCCCACAATCTGGAGGGCTTGAGGAGAAAAAGAAAAAACCAAATATGGAGAGTGACAGGAATACGGAAAGAGATAGGAATATGGAGAAAGAAAGAAGAGTATGAAGAGAGAGAAAAAGAACAGAGAGAAGGAAGAAATACGGAGGGAGGGAAATATGGGAAAAGAGAAAGGAATATGGAGAGAGGGAGCGGTGGGGGTATAAGAAAGATAATTGAGAGAAAGAGAGAGGGAAAGGGAGAGGGAGGAAGAGGGAGAGAGAGGACACAGGGAGAGAGGGGAGACAAGGAGAGAGGGGAGGGGGGAGAGAGAGAGGGAGGGAGGCAGGGAGGGGGGTGAAGAGAGAGAGAGAAATGTCACAGTTTCTCTCAGGCCTGATTACCCCTTGAAGAAAGCTAATAATGTCTAAGAGACCAGACAAATCACAAAACCCAAGTTAATTAACAACCCCAAATTCCAAGCAAAATACCCTCTTCCCTGCTGTTGTTACATGCCATCGAGTCGCTGGCGAATCATAGCGACCCTATGTACAACTGCCCTAAACCCTGCGCTGTCCTGTGCCAATCACACTGTCTCTGACACATGTACCGCCGTTACCCCAGTCACTGAGTCAATCCATCTCATCAAGGGTCTTCCTCTCCCAAGCATGACATCCCTCTCCAAAGACTGGACTCTCCTTGCAACAAAGTCCAAAGTATGTCAGATGAAGCTTCTGAATCCTTGCCTCATGAACCTGTTTGTTCTCCTAGCAGTCCATTCAACACTCTTCTCCAGCACCACAGCTCAAAGGCATCAATTCTCCTTCTATCATCTGTAGTCATTGTCCAGCTCTCTGATGCATAGCAAGTAACTGCAAAGACTATGGCCGGGAGCAGGTGCACCTTAGTCTCCAGACTGACATTGTTGTTCTTCAGTACTTTGGAGAGGTCCCTGACAACAGACTTTCCAATGCAATTCATCTTTTAATTTCCTGGCTGCTGGTACCAATCTTCCCTGTTGTTGTTGTTGTTTTTGATTGCTGTCAAGTATGTCTATAACTATGGACATTTATAAAAGTTTATAGTTTCCAGAGGCAAGTTATTTAGGAAGTGGATGCCACTCCTGCTTCTAAGCCTGTCACAGTATGTTACTGAGTCACCTGTGATGTACAGCAATCTTGCCTAGTCTTCCCTAAAACCCCTACAACAAGAAATTGTCCTTTACTGTCCTTGGGCTATTTTGACCTTCTCCATGGGCTTGGTCACTTGGTGTCCCTCTCAGATCATGCAAAAAAGACCTGTTTGTTTCTTGAAACCAGATTCTTTCTCTTTCTCTCTCTCAATTCCTTTTTCTATCTAACAGAGAGAGAGAGAAGAGCAAAACAGAAATATGGAGAGAGGTGGAGTGGAGAGAAAGAAGACTAGAAATACAGAGACAGAAGACAGAAAGAACTGGGGACAGAAATATATGGAGAAAAAGAGGGCTGGTGGCTGAACTCTGTATCTCTCTCTCTCTCTCTCTGCCAAGGTCAAAGCCTAGTGCTCCCTCCTCCCAGACTTCCCACACTAGGGGAGGGAAGGAAGCATAGGTCAGGTCTCAGGTCATCAGACAAGTCTGTGATCATTTCCTGGACCTGCCCTGGTGGTGGTGACCAGTGCAAGCCAGAAGACCTCGAACAGTAAAGAAATGCCGTAATGGGTCAAGGCAGAGCTGAACGATTCAAATCCAAACCAGCCCCAGCCGCTGTTACATCAGTTCTGACTCATCGAGACCCTCTGGTGCAGCCAGAAGCAGAAATGAGTATTTCTTTAATAATACTTTAAGGGAGAAGTCGGGGATTTTGGCTCTTTTTCTTCTTCTTCTTCTTCTTTTTTTTTTTTAAATCTAGAAGCCTATTTGAAAGTGACTTCCTTATCAGGCTGAACCCCTTTGTCTTTATTTCCTGGAGGGACAGTTTTGAGGAAAGGCCTCAATCAAGTTGCAATCCTTTGTTGAGGGTCCCTAGTTACCTCCCCACTCTGTGATAGTCTGTCTCTCTGTTAACATAATAATATGACCTACTGACTGGGTACCAAAGATGACCTTTTCTGTGAAAAGAAGAGAAAATGGTTTCAGAGAGTAACTGAATTACGTCTAGGTTTGCTCTCAATCGGAGGCCAGCATGAGGCAGATGCAGGGACCCCCCCCCATTCCCTTTTAAATCTGCCAAGAGTTTTTGGGTGCCCTTTGAGTGACCCCTGTATGACCTTCTAGAGAGGCTCATGACGACCAGGCCAGCTGCCGGTTCCTGCTGATTTGCATAATCTCTCCTTTCCTGAAATAACCCACCTCTTTCTCTTAAAAGTGCTCAAAATAAACCATGAGCTCTGACCCCCACATCTTTAACCTATCCTACAAATATCCCCAAAAACCCTTCCCTTGCTGAGGTACGCTTGGAAATCTCATATGCCCTGTACCGTTGTTGTTGTTGTTATGTGCCGTCGAGTCGCTTGTGACTCATTGTGACCCTGTGTACAACAGCCCTAAACTCCGCTCTGTCCTGTGCCAATCGCACTGTCTCCGACACTTCCATCCCAATTATCCCAGTCACTGAATCAATCCACCTCATAGAGGGCCTTCCTCTCCTGCACTGTCCCTCCACCCTCCCAAGCATGATGTCCCTCTCCAAGGACCGATCTCTCCTCACAACATGTCCAAAGTATGTTAGATGGAGCCTCAGAATCCTTGCCTCCAAAGAGCCACCTGGTTTAACCCTTTCCAGACAAATCTGTCTGTTTTCCTAGCAGTCCATGGTATTCTCAATACTCTTCTCCAGCACCACAGCTCAAAGGCATCAATTCTCTTTCTATCCTCCTTGGTCATTGTCCAACTCTGATGCATAACATGCATAACAAGTGATTGCGGATTGTAGGAAGAAGGATTGGCCAATCCACTTGGCCCTGTACCCTACGTACTAGTATATATAATATTCTGCTTTTTCCTTTCCTGTGTTTCCAAGACCAGTTTCCACGGCGGCTGGTGGCACCACTGTAGTTTGCTGGTGACTGCGTGACAGGGTCAAACTGCCCCGTAGGGCTTCCAAGACGGAACACCTTTACAGGCTTGGACCCTCACAACTTCTGCAAGCCCTGTTTCTTTCAGTACAGGGCCAACAAACAAAACGTCCAAACCCACTGCCATCAGTGCAACTCGGTTCTAACTCAGGCTGGTTCTCCGTGAGGTGATTCTCAGTGTTGTCGATCTTGGTGGGAGGCAACTGTCTTCGCTTTCCCGGGGTACGGCTCCTGGAGTAGAGCCGCCTAAACTTTTGAATGACGAGCCAAACATATTACACAGTATGCCATCGGCACTGTTAAGGGCTGGGCAGACAAAATAACGGTGAAATTGGGTGGAAAGAATGTTAGGGAAAATTAGAAACTCAGTTTAGAAACAACACGCCTCCGGAAACTCTAGGAACTTTGATAAATGTCGACAGTTGTAGAGGGGCTTCAGGCCTTTTGTTCACAGGGTCCTGTGCTTGTATCTTGCTTAACTCAAAGGCAATCAACAACAACAACAACAACAGAAGGCAAAGGTCAAACAAAGCGGTCCCATCAAAACCAGGGAACCAAATGGACTTACCTGTTCCACAGTCCAGACACGCATAGTAAAATCTTCCCACCCCAAACATCCTAAGTAACATTTTAGGTACCTGAGAGACTTGGTCTTGGGACCAGTAACATCAAAAACCACCCGCCACATTTTGAACTCTCTGAGACATCCCATTGGCCCCCAACTCAAGCCTAGAAGCACAGAGAGCCAATGGTATTAATCTATTACACTACACATTTGATTTCAGAGAAGCTGTCTGGGAAGAATCTTTTCTAAGAAATCTGTCTTTCCATTGACCTTCACGCCTGGCTCTGGCATTTCCTCTGAGCTGTCTGCTCTTTTTTTTAAAAAAATTTTATTTTATTATTTTTGTGTGCGTGTACCATCAAATCAGATCTGACTAGTACAGGAGACTGCCCCTCCTTCCCCAGCAGAGCATCTGGTGGATTTGAACCGTGCGTCTCTCGGATTGTAGTTGCAGCTCTTGCCACTAGGCCACCAGAGCTCCCCTGAGCTGTCTGCTCTTAACAAGGGCTCAGCCCGCACCAGGATGATTCTGAGCCGGACAGACAACCTGAGAGGGGCTGGACCAGGCCGAAGCCAGGGGAATTGTCCACGGTCTATCTTCCTGCTGCCTCGCACGGGGTTCAGTTCTCTGTCTGAGCAAGGGAGACGGACATGAGGGGCCCTGACCCCACGGTAACAGGACTTGTTAAATCTCAGGAGGTAGAAAAACACTAAAGAAGTGGGGGGGGGACAGTCAGAGCGTCTCTCTTAGAACAGCTGCCTCTGGAATTGGCAGAGGGGAGGGACAGGTGAGGAGAAGACTGGCTTCCAGAAGTTGAAGGAAAGGGGACTTTCTCCCTCTGCTTGCCTTGAATCTGACAATTTTTTTTAAAAAAATATTTTTGTGTGCGTGTACCATCAAATCGGATCTGACTGGTACAGGAGGAGACTGTCCCTCCTTCCCCCGCAGAGCATCTGGTGGATTCGAACCGTACGCCTCTGGGATTGTAGTTGCAGGTCCTTGCCACTAGGCCACCGACAATTTTTTTACACCCCACTTAGTCAGCCCTTGGTTACCTGGAGCTCTGAGGCCTGAGGTGTGCCCCGAGCTGGCAGAGAGACTCAGCTTACACCCCAGCCTTAGGGGGGGGCATTCTTTCCTTACCTGTGTTGTTTCCTTGCAGGACACCAATGGCCACGTTCTGGGGAGCATCTGGGACAGAAGAAGCAGCAGTTTCCTCCTTCAGTGGTAAGACATGAGCAGACCGTGTTCCTTTTCCCCAGAACCCATGACGGGTCAGGAGACTCTTGCCTGCCCAATGACTTGCTACCAGCTGTCCAGTCCCGGCCCAGCCCCAGCGCGTCTCCACACACTCAGGGTCCCAGGCGCGCCGCCCCCCCTCAGCAGCACTCACAGGACACATTGAGGAGGATGGTGGTCTTCATAGTCACCCCAACTGCAGGGAAGGTGACCTGACAGGTGAGGCTGGTTCCGTGGTCCTGGGGTCTTGGGGAGAGGGTGAGCACTGAGGAGAGGTAGGTCCTGGGGCCCGGGGAGGTGAGGGCGGCTGAGGTCCAGGAGAAAAGGGGAGGCGTCCCTTGTTCACAGGCCCAGGGAACAGTGCAGGTCAGGTTCCTGGGGTGACCAGAGGCCAGCACAGCAGGGACCTGGATGCTGGGTGACTGGGTCAGGGCTGGGGAGGAGAAGATGAGTTCAGAGCCCCTCAGCCTGGCCCAGGGTCTTAGCCTAACTGTGCCCACCCCAGGACGAGCGGGACTGTCTCTCCTCGGACCCCCTGCCATACCTGTTACATTCAGAGATAGCGTCTTCTTTCCATACGTTTGTCTGTTATAGCTAAATCCCACCCAAAATAAATATGTCCCACTGTCTGCCTTCTTGGCATCTCGGATGATCAGGGAGCAGTTGCTGGTCCAGGGAAGGAGGAAGCGGCCCTGGGTCCTCTCCTGTAGCTTCTCTACGGGTTGTCTGTTTGTGGCCACCAGAGCATCGTCCTTTAGATCTACCCCTTTTTGGAACAAAAACACGCGGGTGGATAAGTAGGGATTTTGAGGGTGAAATTTGCATGGTACAAAGAGACACAGGCCCTCCTGCACCGTCGCAGACTCTTGTAGTTCCAGCTCGACCGGCCATCTCTGAGTGAGGATCCCTGCAGAGGGGCAGGGAGAGTCCGCTTCAATGTCCAGAACCTGCCCTCAGTGGATTCCCTGACTCACCTCAGCCCACTTACCTTCCCACAGCAGGGACAGCAGAAGCAGCAGCATCTCGGGTCCCAGACTGAGACAGTCTGCCTTCCAGAGCCTTTCTGAAAGGGAAAGTAACACGGCAGATGTAGGATGGTAGAGGAAGTTTGGACAGGAAGACGGTGGTCAGGGCAAACGAGAAAAGCATAAAACCCAGAAGAGGAACTTGAGACTCAAAAGACCATCGGTGGGGATCAATTAGTTGAGATGACCCAATTTCCATTTCAGTATCTCCGAAAATGAGGCTCAGAGGGCCAAGTCCTGCCTCCCGGTCTTGAACACCATGTTCTATTCTGAGTATCAGATGCCACCAGGCCAAACCATCAGCACTCAACAGTGTCTGGACCCGGATCAAGTTCAGTCTTCCAGGCTTGGGAGACTCAGGCTGATCTGTGTGGACAGATGGGAGCCGTTGGTGAAAGATTCAGATGAGATGAGAGAAGCCAGTCACTCACTCACTCAACCCACCTATTCACAAACTAGGAGCTTGTTGTACAGATGGTTACCCCTCCACAGACATCTTCAGCTCTTAACTCCTGGTCCTTCATAATGTTGCCTTGCTTGGAAAGACAGTCTCTGGAGATATTCTGAGTCAAGTTCACAGGAATTCACAAAAGAGTTGTTGTTGTTAAGTGCTATCGAGTCATAGGCGACTCATAGCGACCCTGCAAACCAAAGTCCTCAACACTTGTATGACTTTCGCCCTTTCACCAGGTTCACAGGGTTTCCAGAGGCAAAGCTATTATGGAAGTGGATGCCACTCCTGCTTCCAAGCTTGTTATAATGGGGAGCTCCACCCAACACTGTCCGCCCTGGGTAACCATTAAAGCATTTGACACATCAGTGTCACAGTGTTCAGCTTCACAGCAACCACAAGTTACCTCTGTACAACAAGGGGACACACCAGGGCTATACGACCTAGAGGAATATTTGAACAAAAAGAATGAAAAAAAGGCCTGAGGGCCGCAGATTAATGAAGTAGGGTGGGTCTTATTGCAGTAGGTATGTTTTTCTTGTTCTTCTTGTGAGTTGCTATCAAGTTGCCTGTGACCCTACGTACAACAGCTCTAAGCCCTGCTCTGTCCTGTGCCAATCGCACCATCTCCAACACACCCACTCCGATTACCCCAGTCACTGAATCAATCCACCTCATAGAGGATCCTCCCCTCCTGCACTGTCCCTCCACCCTCCCAAGCATGACGTCCCTCTCTAAGGATTGGTCCGTCCTTGCAACATGTCCAAAGTATGTCAGATGAAGCTTCAGAATCCTTGCCTCCAAGGAGCAGCCTGGTTTAACCCTCTATGGGATTAATCTGTTTTCTTAGCAGTCATCCTATAATCCTGTATCAGGCACACCTTAGTCTCCAGACTGACATTATTGCTCTTCAGTACTTTGGAGATGTCTTTAATAGCAGACTTTCCCATCACAACACATCTTTTGATTTCCTGGCTGTGGTGCCAAGAGTGTTGATTGTGGAGCCAAGCAGACTAAAGCCGTGAACAATCTCAATCTCTTCACCATCCATCATGACGTTGCCAACTGGCCCAGTGGTGAGAATCTTTGTCTTCTCGATATTGAGACTCAATCCATATTGAAGGCTGCAGTCCTTGACCTTCTGCAGCAGGTGCTTCAGGTCCTCCTCCGTTTCAGCGAGCAGGGTTGTGTCATCTGCATAACGCAGGTTGTTGATGAATCTTCCTCCAATCCTGATGCCACACTTCTCCTCATAGAGCCCAGCCTCCCGGATAATCTGTTCTGCATACAGTTTGAAAAGGTATGGAGATAGGACATATCCCTGATGCACACCCTTCCCAATTTTGAACCATGCAGTGTTTCTTGCTCTGTTCTGACAACTGCCTCCTGGTCCAAGTATAGGTTTCTCATTAGCATGATCAAGTGTTCTGGGATTCCCATTCTTCTCAGAGTCAGCCACAGTTTGTTGTGATCCACACAGTCAAACACCTTTGCATCGTCAATGAAACACAGATAGACATTCCTCTGGAACTCCCTGCTTTCAGCCAAGATCCTTCTAACATTAGCTACAATATCCCTAGTACCATGACTGTTTCTAAACACAGTCTGCAGATTATTTTCCTTAAAAAAAAGAGCAAGAGATACAGAAAGATCATCAAGTGACTGTGGAAGCAGAGTTTGGATTTATACACCTGCTGTGGTTAGGTATCATTGAGTCACCCAGAAGTCCTAGCAACCCTATGAACGTCAGAAACTCGCCTCACATCTTCACGCTTTCAGACGTGACCACACCTGTTGTTAAAGTCTCTGTAGCAAGCCACATTGGTCGGAGATGCCCTCTGTTTGTCTATCCCTCTATTTTCCCATCCTGATGTCTTTTTCCAAGGACTGGTCCCTCCTGAAAAATGCCCAAAGTTTCCTCATCCTTGTCTCTACCAAGCACCATGGTTGCACTTCCTCCAAGATTTCTTTCTTCTTTGACACCCTCCTGAGATACTCAGGACTCTTCTCCAGCACCACTAAGGCTTTTTCTTCTTCTTCTGTCATCCTTTTCCATTGCCCATGTCAGAATCACAGGAAGCGACTGAAAAGACTAAGGTGCACCTTAGTCTTTAAACTGACATCTTTGCTCTTTAGCACTTTGGAGAGGTCCTTGACAGCAGATTTTCCAAAAGCAACCCATCTTTTGATTTCTTTTAAAAACTGATATTTTAACAAATGTTTACAGAAAATTTGGATTTGCATTCATTCACTGTTGCACCTTTTCCTTCCTACTCCCAACCCCCACGGTCTCTGTATGTCACAGGCGACTTGATGGCACCTAACAACAACAACCACCTCCACTCCCCCCAGTTCGCTTTTCTCTCTAAAAAGACTCTCTCATTGTTGTACAACCATCTTTTGATTTCTTGACTGCTGCTACCGTGGGTGTTGATTGCAGATCCAAGTAAAACAAAACTGTTGATAACATCAACCTCTTCTTCTTCTGATATTGCTTATTGTTCCAGGAGTCAGGATAGAAGGAGAATTGGTGCCTTTGAGCTGTGGTGCTGGAGAAGAGTACTGAATGTACCATGGGCTGCCTAGAGTACAAACAAGATTCATCCTGGAAAGGGTTAAACCAGGCTGCTTCTGGGGATTCGTCTAACATACTCTGCTCCTGATACAGGCCATGGTCTTTGCAATCACTTGTTAAGCATCAGAGAGTTGAATAATGATTAAGGAGGATAGGAGAATTGACGCCTTTGAGCTGTGGTGCTGGAGAAGAGTATTGAATGTACCATGGACTGCTAGGAAAACAAACAGATTCATCCTGGAGAGGGTTAAACCAGGCTACTCCTTGGAGGCAAGGATTCTGGGGCTTCGTCTGACATACTTTGGACATGTTGCAAGGAGGGACAGGTCCTTGGAGAGAAACATCATGCTTGGGAGGGTGGAGGGACAGCACAGGAGGGGAAGACCCTCTAGGAGGGGAATTGATTCAATGACTAGGGTAATCGGGATGGGTGTGTCAGAGGCAGTGCGATTGGCACAGGACAGAGCAGGGTCGCGAGGGCACATAACAAAAACAACCACCACATCATCAGAGCTTCCTAGTTTTGCTTGTTACACAACGACCAGCCAAGAAATGTCAACAACCACCAGAATCCAGGAAAGAGGAATGGAGGAGATTCTCCCTCAGAGACGCAGAAGGAATCAAAATAGCCAACACAACTTATTTTGAACTTCTCGACACCAGAACAGTGAAGTGACACATTTCTAATGTTTTAAACCACCCGATTTGGTTATGCTGGTTACAGCAGCTTTAGGAAATGAATACATGTACTCTCTGGGGTTTTTTTCCCAGGGTACCATTTACTACTTTGCATAGTCAGAGACAGTGTCATTTATCTGAAACTGTAGTTCACAGAACATCTCCTCCTCCAGAATGACTATGCCCCTCCGTGCCTGGAACAAAAAAGGGAAGAGAACAAAAGTGCACAGAAACAGTCCAAAGGACTAAAGGATCACATGAAATAGACAGTGCCCAGCTACCACTGTTGGTTATTCTCAAAGGAATCACAGTCGAAGATCCTAGAGAGAGTGGAAGGAAACGTGGACTGAAACTCTAAAGACATGTAGATTGCTTTTGGTAGAATTGTTATTCTCACAATATTGAGTCTTCCTATCCATGAACAGGGCATGTTTTTCCCATTTCTTTAGGTCTTTGATTGTGTGTTGTATAAATATTCTGTAGTATTCTCTGTATATAGGTCTTTTGTATACTCTAATTAGGTTCACTCCCAAGTATTTCAATTTGTGGTTGGCTATTGTAAATGGTGTTGCTTTCTTGATTTCCTTCTCTGAGTTCTCTTTGTTACTGTAGAGGAATCTTATTGATTTTTGGATACGGATCTTCTATTCTGCCACTCTACTAAACTGGCCTATTAACTCTACCAGTCTTTTGTCGAGTCTTTGGGGTTTTCTGTGTACACTATCATATCCTCTGCATACAGTAACAGTTTAACCATTTCTTTGCCAACCTGAATGCATTTTATTTCCTTCTCTTGTCATATTGCCGTAGCAAGGACTTCCAATACATACTGAAAAGAAGTGGTGACAGTGGGCAGGCATCCTTATCTGGTCCCTGTTTGCAAGGAAAATGTTTTCAGTCTTTCTCCATTGAGAGCGATGCTGGATCTTGGTTTTGCGTATATACTTTTTACTATGTTGAGGAAATTCTCTTTTGTTTCAATTTTGCTGAGAGTCTTTATAAGGGGTGTTGGATTTTGTCAAATGCCTTTTCTGCATCAATTGCTAAGATCATACGGTTCTTGTTATTTACTTTCTTAATACAGTGAATTACATTGACTGTTTTTCTTATATTGAACCATCCTTGCATACCTGTTATGAATCTCACTTGGTCATGGTTGCTGTTGTTGTTATGTGCTGTCAAGTCGCTTGCGACTCATAGCGACCCTATGTACAACAGCTCTCAACTCTGCTCTGTCCTGTGCCAATCTCATTGTCTCCGACACACTCATTCCAATTGCCCCAGTCACCGAAT